CACTGTGCGACGCTCCAGCTCTGATGGTATTCAACTCCGAACTCGCTGCTTGTAGCAGAGAAAAGTGAGGCCCCCACTGCGATAAAAAGACCAAGTGGAGAAGGACTTGGCTTCCCTTGGAATTTCCAATTGGCGTCATTTGGCACAGAGGAGGAACGACTGGCGTGCTTTATTGATCTCGGCCAAAATCGTTTAGGCGATTACAGAGCACTCGCCAAACCTGGAAATTGTTTCCTCTGGCCAGTTAAAGTTTTGTCATGAAGATCAAATTATTTAAAAAGCAATTTAGTCTTATTTAGTTAGCCACACCTGTATTTGCACAATAACTTCTTCAAAGGTACTTATGTGGATAGCTCAGATATGCTCTGAATTTGAATTCTATTAATTAATATATTTGTTACAGAGAAAAACACCCGATACCTAACATTTACTGTTATAAATAGGTGCGATTGCAAATTCGCGACACTATTGCGCCATAAGTTATCAAAGTAGTTGGAAGTAGAAACGCGAATTGTATTTGCAGTCCAAAAGTAATGGAACGTTGGTCGAATCGTGTTGCTGTGGTAACGGGTGCTAGTTCAGGAATCGGTGCTGCTGTTGTGAAGTACCTTGCAAACAACGGATTGGTTACTGTGGGCCTTGCACGACGCAAGGAGCGAATCGAAGCAATACGTGATGAAGTAAAACTGGAAGTACGAACACGAATTCATGCTATTCAGTGTGACGTGCGAAACGAGGAGCAAATAATAGCCGTTTTCAAAGAGATTGAAAAGAAATATGGGCCAGTTGCAGTGTTGGTCAACAATGCGGGGATATTACGAACAACCACCTTATTGACGGAAAGCAACTCGCAAGATATACGTGATGTTATCGACACAAATATTTTGGGTGTGGTCCATTGTACCCGGGAGGCGTACCGATCTATGAAAGCAAGCGGTGGAGATGGTCATATTTTCTTGATCAACAGCATAGTTGGCCACAAAGTTCCTTTATTTGAGAACAATACTTTTAATATTTATCCTCCTTCAAAACATGCTGTTACCGCCATGACCGAAATTTACCGCCAAGAGCTATTAAACAACAAGAAAGTTAAAATCACCGTAAGTAATTTAAATAGCCCGTTCGTTGAATGTGTTGAATACAGTTGTGTTTATTTTGTGTACATATATACTTTAGAGCATCAGTCCAGGTGTAGTTGAAACTGAGATTATCACCGATGATATAAAGAGACAGATACCGGATATGGTCTATTTAAAGTCAGAAGATATTGCGGATGCGTTGGTTTATTGCCTTCAAACTCCACCGCACGTGCAAATTCATGAGATGACCATCAAACCTGTGGGAGAAAAGATTTAACATACGTATATACATACATGTGTAGTAGTAAAACAATACATGCATATAGAACTTATAAAAAGCTAGATTGTGAAAATATATAACAGGTATTCACCAATTGCAATTGTCCTGACACTGTGGCAAAATTTCGTGAATACCCCTACTGGGGGCATTTCAAACTGAAAGTCCTTAATTTTCAAAAAGAAAAGTATATTGAAACCTCTTTGAAAGCTAAATTAAAAGTGTTTAAATTGCTCCGATTTTTATGATTTTTTAAGTGAGGCTTATCAAAAATACTAAAACCTTTACAATTTACATTATACTCGTACCGCTCCAATCGGGAATTCGTCCATGTTTCTGTTAAGGAAACTATATATGTATGTAAACGATTAACTGTAAAATATGTAATTTAAGTTATTCGGAGATATAAACGAAGATTATAAAATTATAATTAAATATAACTAGTTTTGGCCTTTAAGAAAAAAGGTGTCAATAAAATGTTTCTAATTTCATTTCTTTTGTGAAATGTGTTTATTGGTACAGAACTATTTAAGCAAGTATGTGTGTCCGTACAGCCTACACTTGCGGACAGAACATTTCAGTTTTTATACAGCAGTTATTATCAGTATCAAATATTTATCGATATAAAATAAACCACAATAAATTTGTTTAAAATTCAGGTATGAACAGTGCTGTCAGATTTTTATTTAAAAAAATTGCGTGTATTAAATAAAGATCAATAACAAAAAAACATTTTTTAAAATTAGATAATACTAGCTTACCCGTGCGAATTATTCCCATTCAATATTTTAGAATAAAGAGCAAATAATTAACTTAGGTATTTGTTTCAGGAGTTTGTTTTATTGCAGCCACTACAGATGTGTAATTTTAACTCAAACCTTACAAAACCTTTGAAAACAACGTCGGAAGTGATAAAGTGATCATTCTATTCTTTTTGGTTGAAAGGTTTTCTGATACACTCATAAACATCGTTAAATCTACGAACTCTTGAAAAAGCCACGTATAGCTCTGCCCATTCAAAAAACAGGTTCAGGTAGATGCAACCCCGCCCTTTGAAGCGTTTAGCCTTATGCTTTATTGATTGCCATAGTAAAGGCCACCTTTACCGGAAACTATTTTCTTATTAATTTAGGGCTGCCATAATCCTTGAATCCATCGACCAGGACATTTATTCCCTATAAATCCAGTTTCTTTGGTTCTGGCGTTGCATTATTATGAAGTATTTTCTGATAATATAAGCAACGTAGTTTTGTGGCATAATCCGTAGAGCTGAATAAGGGCTCCTATACAAAAAAATGTTTCAAAACCAATAACTTACTTATTAAAAAATTAATTATTATGGGTTAAAATTATTGTAACCAAGTATGTTCTACAAAAACACATAAACAGAAGTTCATAAAAGTTGATATAAAACTTTTCGTCGATTTAAATAGTTAACTTTTTGCTGCGAATGTTCATTTTACGAGGAGGAAGCATCGAAAGAATA